GGAAGTTCGAAACGTTACCGCGATATTGCTCTCTCTTCCTTTCTCTCTCTCTCTCATTCAACGAAATTTCTTTGGCAAAACTTATTACACATAGGTCGTCGTTATTATTTAATAAATAATAAAGGCATTAAATAATCGTGTAATAATAATGATGATAATAGTATAATAATAATTAGAATAATAATAATAATAATATTAATAATAAATCATGAGAATAATGGGAAAAATAAGATAGCGATAATAATAGAATAGAATAAAAAATAATAATAATAAAATGAAGAGTTCATAATCATCATCGTTACAATAATAATAATAATAGAATAACAATGTGAAGTACGCATTAGTCAATTACAATCCCGACAAATTATAAAAATCGCAATGAAAGTCAGATCGATGTGTATGTATGTGTACCGAAGGTATCCCCTTTAAAAAAAAAAAAAGAAAAAAAAAAAAAAAAAAAAAAAAAAAAAGAAAAAATAACGTTAGACATGAAACGAAAGAAGATTGATTTCCATCGGTTGGCAGGTATATCGCGAGTGTAAAACAGTGTTAATACTCGAATTTGTTGCAGCCTCGAAATACTAAACATGATCGCAATATCTCTTTCTTTCCTCTCTTTCTCTCTCTCACTCTCTGTATCTTCCTTTTCTATACCGTTTTCCATGCCCCAGATTCTTTCTGCACACAATTTTATTACGACACGTAACGCTACGATACGACAATTTATAAATAGCAATTATTCAGCAATGAGAGATCACGGCTACGAATCCTTCGTCCTTGCGACAAACACGGCGGAAACGTAATCGCGTTGGCGGGCTGAACACGTAAAGAACGCAACTAACAGGAAGGGGTGTAGTATCGGTTTTGAAATCATGGTGACATATTGTCGAACGATCGGTGGAATAGAGAGACCGAGTCGTACGAAGAGATAATTGTACGAATAAGTTGTTCGTTTGACGCTCGGATCGATAAACGATCTGACAATCGGTTGCGAGCACGCTTAGGATCGACGATGTCGGATCGTTTCGCTACGATTCCGTGAACCGTGTCCAACGATACCACGCGTAATGTAAAAGTAATGATGGAAAGGTGAAAGATCGTACGAGTCGTTTGCTAAAACGTTCGAATAAATATATTACGATAAAATGTATTTTTAAAAATATATTTTTTTCTTTAATTTTATTGTAATATACGGATATATATTATATATAATATAGGGATATATCACAATAAAATTAAAAAGATATGTTTTAAAAAAATGAATAATAAATATATAATAAGATAATTCAAAATTATCGAACTATTATCGTTCGCGCGAGACACGCTTGAGAAAATATAATTTGTTAATTATGAGATAACTGTGATGCGAGCGAAATTGTGCTTGGAAATCCATTTCATGGTAGATTTCTCAAGCGAGACGCGATGATACGTTGATAAACGTCTCACGAGACTGATAACTTATAAAAATAATTAAAATTATTTTGTTATGTTCATTGCACTATTTGCATTTCTATTAAATAGAAAGGACAACGTATAATTATCTTCGTAGCGAGATAAAAGTAGCTCGTATAATTGAGAAATTAAAAGAAGAAAATATAGAGTAACAAATAAATACGTTCGAATTATACCGCGCATGTACGCGCATGTACGTACGTTTCTAGACGCAACGCGCATGCCCGGCGCATATCGTATGCGCGATCGAAAGGCGCTGGACACGCGCGCGTAAATTTCCTTATTAAGGTTACAAATTAACATTTTTGCCCGTTAATCATAAAGAAATTGCAAGCACGTAACTTCTCATTAAAGTTGCCGTGGCCAGACGTTAATTACGGTTCCGCGATAGTTTTTTTCTCTTCTCTTTTCGAAACGTTACGCTCGACGCGGTGCCGGAAGCTAGTTGATTTCCGTGGTTGTGTGATGTGCGAGTGTAGTGAAGGCGTTGGACGGAACGCGGGAATAATCACGATCAACCGGCCATCAAGGAAGTGTCCGTTGTTTTGTTTAGAAAAAAATCAAACCATGGAATGAAATTCGTTACATGCCAGCGAATATCCACGGACGATTTGTGATCGACGAAGGATGGCAGTTTCGATCGAAGGTAACGTATCTTTTTCATTGCATACACGATGGCGTTACCTTCGGCGAAAGAATCGACCGCGATGACGTAGAGCCCGCGTTTCACGACTTCGTTTCGCCTTTCACGCTTTCCCGATTTCTCGATTTGCATTCCCTCATTGTTTTGTACATTTACGTCGATCCTCGTACGTCGCTCGCAAACACGCGCATCCGTTTACATCTAAAAATCGCTTTCGAACCGCCATAAAACTCTGCTTTAGCCGTAGCTACGCGACGCACGCAATTCTCATTTCGGCAATCCGTCTGTGGTCTTTGGTTTCTACAAAAAATATATATAATATCCTTAACAGTAATGATCGTTACGTCGATTCCTGATTTAAAAATCTCAATAAACTTATCCATTATATCTACTATATTACTTATACCGTTTTGTGGGTAATGAGGGGAAGGGAGCGGAGAGGGGAGGGGGGAAGAGGGCGGGGAGCAGGTGAGGATAGGTCGTCGTGCTTATTAGAAAGAAAGAACGTGCCGTGTTGGGCAGTTGACTCTGTTTTACACGGATAATATTATGTATATTTTATATATATAATTTTTTTTTTTTCCTTCACTTTATATATATGTACACGTTCTAACGCCGTCGGTAACAAATATGCCCAACTACATTCGCGTCACAAAGATCGTTAACAATGGGAGACGAGAGGAAAATTGTCGGGAATGCACGGGCACATTTGGAGAGACGACCGATCGCGGGAATTGTGTAGAAATTATACTAACTGAGGATCGTTAAATTAAACTACCTATGATTATGCGCACTCTACGTGAGTAGCGACACTGTCGGTAACGCATACGGGCCAACCTGTAATCCCGACCACGCAATTAGACAGAATTGTCCTTAAGTGTCGCTGGACCAGACACTCGTCGTCGAGTCGTTTTGCCGTTTTCCCATTCAATAATTATTCGTAAATAAGATCGTTGACATCGGTCAAGCTACAAGTTTTCTATTTTCCCGTGACACGGGTTATCTTTCGTTAAAAACGATTTCTAACCTCAATTATCACGGACAATCATCTGTCAATTTGCAACAGCGTTCGATGTTCGATCGTTTCGTTCCATTGAGCGCTGTCGTGTGTCGTGAACGGCTATGGATGACTCCGATGGATTCGATCATCGTCATTAAAACGTTGTTAAGAAAATTTCTCAAAAAAAAAAAGTCTCTATCTCTCTCGCGATTCACGCGCTGATCGACACGAAATCCCCAAACGCGATTCAATCGTGATTCAATGTCGCGTTGCATTGACGTGAACGTGTATCTGGTCATAATTCGCCATAATTCTTTTCTTTCTCTCTCTCTCTCTCTCTTTCTCTCCCCGTTCTTCTTCCTGTTTTCTTAACGGGAATTCGTCGTGGTTATCCGTGTTACGATCTTTTATTCGATGATAACGGTTCGTGACTGTTCGTTCCCGAACCGTTTAATAAAAGAGATCATCATTGCTTAATTTCAGCATGGTTCCTCGTGATATGGCGTCCGAACTCGTTGGTCGCTGTTCCCACTCCAGAAAGACCCTCTGCCCGGAATTGGTCTCCTGTGCCATCGATTAATCAGGCCAGATAAAGGTCCGTTGGCGTGGAAGTATGATCCGGCTTGGTGCATGCACTTCCGGTTGGCGAAGCGGCACTCGCACCGCTGCTCGCTCTGGTAGCAGCCAAAGGCGAGCGACTAGCCACGTCCGTGCTGTTCTCTGGTCCTGTGTTATTACATCCGCCGCCCTGCTGCGAATTGGTGTGGGAAGACGCCAGCGTGTCCCCGTTACAGTAGTAATACGTGGAGTCTGCAAAGTAAGAGTAGCATTTATTTTACAATATATCGATGCCATCTAGCACGGTGGATTTTTAATTTTCCATGCTGTTTTATTCCACGTATTTTTCTTCCAACCAAAATTAATTCCCTCGACGCCACTTTTTATAATTACGAGCATAATAAATATCTGTCAGATTATCATCGTATTACGTATATACAAATAATCGTAAATAAGAATACTTTCGTATTATTATTTAATGGCCTCGAGTGGTTAATTTATTTTGGTTAAAGAATTGAGAGCCTAAAATATGACTGCACATTGACGTGGTATAGTATCGAAGCGCGATTCTTTTTCGATCGGGATAACCATTTCTTGCTATTACGTCATGACCGCGACGAAGTTGCAAAATACAACGTTTCTAAAAAGGGGAAAAGTCGAACTGCGAAATTTCGAATTCAGAATGTCGAGTGTAAATACGTATTGCGTCATGCGTACAAAAAAAAAAAACGAGCAAGGAACGTATCGCATGCTCGATAAAAAAATTATTTATTATTCCGTCTATTCTTATACACCAAATATGCATAGCCAATTTGCGAGCATTTCACTTCGTAGGTATATTATATATCGCGATCTACGTATGATGTACCAGCAATCGTCCGTTATGAAAGGCTACTTTGATTCCGCGAGCTTTTTGTAGCCTGATCTTATCTGCGATATCTTGGAACGTAATAAAGTAACGGTGGGTTTCTTCAGTTTTAGAAAGTTGGATCCGATTGGTGCCAGAAATGTGTTCCTTCCTATACGTGAACGCAAAATACGTAGGCAGGGACGGTATAGCATAGTTATGCGAGTCCGTTTCATTCGATCGTATTCAGCCTATCAATGAATTAATACTTGACATTTCGTTGACCCCTAATCTAATCGGTACTCATACTCACTGTTTACTTACTGAGCAACCCGCTTGTCGCTGCCCCATAACCGTAGCCGCTGTACGGTGCGCTCGAGTATTGAGAGTATGCCGCGCTGTATGCATAATCACCACCACCTAAACAAAATACACGAATACGTTCACGTTAGCCATTAACTTTGAAAACTGATATCGATAAGGGGACGGAAATTCATTATTCCCGTACTCTAATCGTACGATAAGTGATCTACATTCTCGATCCCAATTCCATTTGCATTTCCTTCACGAGTAACTCTCGTGAACTAAAAAATAACCCAAGGAGCAAGTTAGCGCGCGTTGGCAACCACCGTTGCCATTTATCCTCACGGTAGTCTAGTTTCTAACCGCGGGAGTTGGTAAGTCAGGGCACTGTAAGGGCGAGCCCTAACTTACCTTCCGTTATTTTTTTTCTTTTTTTTTGATCGTCGGTAACGAGAATGAGGGCGGGACGAGGCTGGTCTGTGTTCAGTACTCACCGGTGGCGTAGTGTCCGAAACTGGGAAGCATCGTGGAGTACGGTGGTATCGCAGATGCTACCTGGGGTTGAGAAACTGGCGGCTGCAAGACCGTCAGTCCGGGGTCCCCTCCGGGGGTGTTGGGGGCCGTGGGGGTGGCGTTTGTCTCGTTCTGCANCGGGGGACTCTGCTCCCCCCCACCGGCCCCCACCCCCACATACGACACTGCGACGGTACTGCTCTCTGCTATGGCCATGCACAACACAACACGACATTCGAGTCAAGCACTAGCTAACGATCAGCGCCTTAACGTCTAAAGCTTAATTAAATTGTCTCTGAATGAAGTAATGGGGGGAGAGGGGGGCGAGGGAGGCGAGGGTATTACGGTATAAGGACGATGTGTGATCATTAGGACGACGCCCGACGAGATGAATGAGACGTAGTGTGAAAGTTTTTTTATTCGATAAAAAACAAAAAAATGTACGAGGGGCGGGAGCCCCCCTTGGAGAGGGGCCCCCCCCCCCTCCCGCGTAATTGTCTACACGCGATTTCTTGACAAGGGAAAATGGGTACAATTACATTCTGCGTACGTTGTGGATCTTCGACTTTCTCGAAGACCGTTTCTCGTAAGGAAACGTGTCCGGTTTACGGAATAGGATACGTGAAAAATATTTAACGATTTATATTGAACGAGTGGATAGACGGGATAATTAGGATCGAATCGATATCTTTTCAAATTATCGATGAATGATTTTGTTAGAAAAAAAAAAATGAAAAAAAAAAAGATGTTCGAGAGACAAAATGTATTTTAAACTTTACGAGATGATTCGAGTCGCGCATACGTGGATGGCGCACAAGGTGTAGACCCCGTAAGAAAACTAAAGAGAGGTGGCGAACTCACCGGTGGTGTGGTAAGGAGACATGTTAGCCCCGTCCAATGTTTGGCTCAATTTTAGTTCTTGCATCGTCAGTGGCGCGAGCGGCGTCAAAGTACCACCTGCTATTAAGGGATCCCCATTTTTCCGTTATTTGCGTCATTTTCGTATCGTTGGCTGGCGATCAAGGCGGAACGTCGAATCGTTCGCGTGATTTGCTCGCACGAATTTTACTTGCCGGTCGGTGTTGTACGTATTCCGGTTTATATAAACTTCATCGGAATCGTCGAAACGAGACACGGGACGATTTAAAAACCGTCGTTGTCACGCCCTCCAAACACGCTTTCGAACAGTTGGTTGGAAGGAGTGAGAGAAAAGGACAGAGATAGACAGAGATAGAGAGAAAGAGAGCATCGTTCCCTCGCGAGCCCGAGATCAAGGATCTCGGTGCACCATCGATATACCGGCTCGTACATATTAACGGGCGAGAGAGTCAGCAAGCCGTGGAATCGACTTGGCCCGGCCGCGTCGTCCTTCAAAAATTCTTCGATCTCGCCACCGAAGATCCTCGATTGAATTTCATGAGATGAACCGGCCGTTACACGGCTCGCTTCGCCCATTCCGAAAAGCACCGACCGAAAGAGTTCCGCGGCGTGACCGAGTTGCTTCGCAACACGTGCCCAGAGAAAGTTCGTTTCGTCCCTATATATATATACATGTGTATACACGTGTCTCGTGTATACACACACACACATACACACGTGGTTGCTTTTCAATAGCGCGTTTCGAGAAGCTCCGTAACGCTCCGCCGTTGATCGACCGCCGTTAAACGGCGCAAGGAGGGCACAGAAACGAGAGAAAAGGGATAGCAGACAGCATGAGAGAGAGAGAAAAAAAGAGAGAGAGAGTGAGAGAGACTAGACGAACGAACGATCAGAACGTCCGAGGATCGACGTGTTTGCCTGGACTTTGAGCTAAAACCAGCGGCGCCCAGTTTAGAAAAGATGTATAGTGAGAAAAGGGACGAACAGGATTACCTGTCACCAGCCTACGGCGGTGTGGTTGCAGGTGTCGCAAGCGAAAGTGATTCGAAAAGAGTCGAAACGAATAGACGAGATTAGGTGGATAGGTGAACGTAGATATATATATATATATATATACATACACCCCTAAGTCGGGAGAACAAGAGAGAGAGAGAGAGAAAGAGAGAGACCACCGAATGGAACGTTCCGCCACCTCTTCTAGCACCGCCGTAGCCGCTGCTCAGCACAGCTCATGCATTATTAAAGCCATGTATTTAGCCGATATGGGTATGCAAAGCAAGACGTAAGCCGCAATAATAAGCGTAAAGGGAAGAGGGACGATGAGGAAGGTATGGAAGAGGTGGGCAAATGGAGAGAAGGAATATCGTGGGAGGAGAGAGAGTAAGAGAGAGACAGAGAGAAAGAGAAAGAGAGCACGATGAAGGAAGGGATACGATGGTGGTTTGCTAGCAGGTCGACTGCTACGAAAAGGGGCTTGTACATGTATATATATATATATATATATACACATATATACATATACATATATATGTATACAAGGGGTTGTGGTGCACACACTGTCCAGGATTTTGTGCGAGATTGTGGGGAGAGAAGAGAAAGGAGGGTGTGCAGGGGATGTGATGAGAAACAGAGAAAGAACGAGTCGCTCACCTATGGTGCCCCCTATGGGCGGGGTGTAGAGATGGGGCGTTTGCGCTTGCGTCATCGTGCTGATGGTGCCCAGGGAGTCGTACAGCTCGGCGGAGGTGGCAATCGCGTTCCCGGGGAATCCTCCGTGTTCGTAGTA